ATATATATATATATATATATATATATATATATATATATATATATATATATATATATATATATATTAAGCAAAATATGTTCCAAGCAGAAAGGGCAGTGAAGTTAATTGATTATTTGAGAGGGCCCCGTTGAGCTGTCTGTACACCGGAAGAGGTGCGTAGACACCCGGAGAGGTGCGTATACACTTGAATTGTGCGGAAACAGCGCGTTGTCTCCATCCCCTGCTGTCTCTGCTGCAGGGGCCCCCAGATCTGAGGGGGCCCCCTGCAATATATTATTAATCTGGGGCTTTGTCTCCTTACCGGCTTCTGCATGCGCCCAGCGAAGTACATGTGGGGCCAGGCCCTCAAGTCCTCCACTACAGACTCTATGGGGGCGACGCCATACTTGCAGAGCTGAGCAGCAACACAAATGCAGCAGCAGCAGCAGAGGAAACGCTACAACGCCGGCACCAACAGCAACAGCACCATTAACAGCAGCAGCAGCAGCAGCAGCAGCAACAGCGCAGCGGCATGCGAGGACGGAAGAGAAGAAATAAAGTAGGCAGAAGGTGTTTGTATGAACAGCAGCATAACGCATGCATGCATGCATGCATACCTTGGGGCTATCGATGCCTGTAGGGACTCTACAGTTAAACAGCACAGGCACGCCTGAGGCCCTCGTTAGATTCACTGCACTACTTGCTGCCGTTTGGGGGCCCCATATAAACGAAATAAAATCAAAGAAAACTGAATAGTGACGTAAATTCATCTTCATATTCAATGCATGCCAATGCAGCAGCAGCTGCTGCGGCACCAGCAACAACAGATCTCCCATGGGGGGCCCCCGAGAGATAGGGGACCCCCGAGGGGCCCCCTCAGGGGCCCCCTCGTTGTGCAGCTGAGAGAAGAAACTGGAGCCGTAGCAGATGCAGCACTCCACAGGGGGAAGATTCAAAGGAAAGGGGAGGCAGCAGGGGGGCTTACTCAGGTTCCGCTGGCCCTTGGCGGGGGGGCCCCCGCTGCTGTGTGTAGCAGTCATGCGGGGACACTGGAGGGTCCAGGGGCCCCGGGGCCCCCTTCACCGCGGAATGCTCCTCACAAGCTGCAGAGTGTAGGGCCCCCCTCCCCCTCCGGTACTGCCTGGGGGGCCCCCTACGGTGAGGCCCCCCTTGGGCACTCTGGGCGCTGCAGCCGACCCTGGGGGCCCCCCAGCGCCTCGATATGGAGCCTCAAGGGTAGAGGGAGGCCCCCCCTGATCTGTTGTTTGCCGTTGTTAACATAGAATAGAATACATTGAATTGCTTAGAAGGACAAAGAAGGGGCCCCATCAATGCATACGGATGTAACAACCCGGCGCAGAGGGGGGCCCCCCTGCGGCTGTATGGAGGTATCGTAGCCTCTATGTGTTTGCATGTTATTTATAGAGCGCTTGGGGTTTACTATAGACAAATAAATATATTTTTGAGTGTTAATTCATATTTTTAAGATAGAGGGAATAGACGAAGGGTTAAATTACAACTTCTGCTGCTGCTGCTGCTGTTGCTGCTGCTGCTGCTGCTGGGCCTGCCTGGCTGTATGCAGGCAGCAATAAGTGCCTGTCTGTCTGTCTCTCGTCGTTGTTTTCTTCTGTCTCCTTTCTCTGCAGTTGTTTTATTGTAATAAATTGTCTGCCTCTGATTAAATAAAGAGTGCCGCGGCAGCTGTCTATACACTGCAGCAGCAGACAAATTCGTTGCTGCTGCTCCTGCGGCTGCTGGTGAGCCGTCTCCCTCTCGCAGCGAAACCAACCGTCTGCGTCTCCCCCTTAGTTTTTTGTGTCTCCATTGCTCCTCTTTAGTCTCCTCTTTAGCCCCCTTTTCTAACACCTTTAAACGCAGCAGCTGCTGGACGAAGCATACGCAGCAGCAGCGGCAACAGCAGCAACAGTAGTGGCAGCAGCAGCAGCGGCAGCAGCAGCCGCAACGTAGACAGCAGCGTAGTCGGGTGTATCTACGTGTGCTGGACGGAGCAGCAGCTTAGAGTTTCTCTGTGTAGCTCTGTCCGTCTGTCTTCTCTGCTGTATGCAGAGCTAGCAACTGTCTCTCCCTCAGCCGCATCATACAGGCTAGGGCTTTAGGGTTAAGACAGCAGGCAAAACAAGAAGAAAAAACACAAGAAAAAGAGAAGGCGAGAGAACAGGACGAGGAGGGGAAAGAAGAAGTAGAGAGAAGCAGAAGAAAACGACAAAGAAGAAAACCTAAACAGCAACAAAAACAGCGACAATAAAAACAAGAACAAGAAGAAGATGGGGCTGGTATCAACAGACTCTCTCCCTGAGGCCCTTCTCTCTGTAGCAGAGAAAACCCTCACCCCCCAGCCTCTCTTCATGGGGCTCTCGGGGCCGCAGCTCTCCCGCATAGCGCGTGAGGTGTACGTACACCTCAAAAACAACGGAAAAGAGGCGCTGGCGCAGCAGGCCAAAGTCCTTATGGACCCTGACGCAATCGCTAAAGCCCTCCATCAGCTGCAGCAGCAGCAGCAGCAGCAGCAGCCGCAGCAGCAACAGCAACAGCAGCAGCCGCAACAACAGCCGCAGCAACAACAGCAGCCACATCATGCAGCACCGTGCACTGTTGCATCGCCGTGCAATGTTACTTCTTGCCCCTGCTGCATGCACAGAGCTTCCCTCTTGGGGCCCCAGGGGGGGGCCCTCCAGCCGCAGATCGTCCCTGTCTTGGTGCCGCCGCAGCAGCCCCAGTGGCAGCTGCCGCTGCCGCTGCAGCCGCCCCAGCAGCAGCCCTGCATGCATCCCCAGCCGCAACAGCAACCGCAGCTTCCGCATGCTTGTGAGGGGCATGCACAGCAACAGCAGCAGCAGCAACCCGAGCCACAGCAACCTCAGCAGGAGAAGCAACAGCCAGAACCGCAGCAGCAGCAGCAGCAGGAGGTGCAGCAGACGTCCCGCAAGGCCTGTGTTGCTCGTCTCTTGTTTGCTATTGTAGCGGCGAAGTTAGCGCGCGAGGGAATGCAGCAACTGCAGCAGATGTACAAGAACAGCAGCAGCAGCAGCAGGAAGCAAGTTGTCTCCTGCGATCCTGATAATTCAGGCATGGGTTCTGTCTCCGTTGAGGGCCTTGCTGCTGCTCTGACCCCTGAGAGAGGTTTTTTCTTGGGGCTGCAGCAGGACCTGCTGCTGTCTCTGCAGCGTGTAGTCGCTGCTGCAGTAGACGGCATCAATGCTGCAATGGGTGCAGCAGGGTACGCAGCACAGGGCCCCCAGGGGGCCTCTGCACGGCCTGGGGGGGCCCCCCGAGACCAGCTGGGGCTCATCCCCGCGGAGCTGCCGCCTCTGTACTGCTCGAAGGCAGAACAGGGGAGAACGGAGCTAAGCATCCACGAGAAGAAAGCTGGCGAGTTAATAAACAAACTCCTCCGCTTGAGGGGAGCAAAAGCCCTAGACTCTACCAGCCCCACAACGCCTGAACACATGCAGCAGCAGCAGCAGCAGGTGCAGCAGGTGCAGCAGCTGCTGCAGCAGCAGATGCACGGGCAACGGGGAATGGAACAGAACAAGACGCGTGGGGGTGAGAGTCAACGGCTGCAACAACAGCAGCAGCACAAACATAAGCAAGGCAAGCAGCAGCAGCAGCAGCAGCAGCAGCAGCGGCGCGCTAGTGTAGCAGAGCAGCAGGACTCTGATGAAAAGGCTCTGGACGAGGAGTTTAAAGTAAGCTGCGGGTTTAGGGTTCAGTGTTTGAGGAATGTAGGGTTTAGGGTTTAGGGTTTATGGCTTGGGTGGTTGTAGTAATCCGGGTTGCTTTGTCTTGCGCATCGTGTAGGGTTTAGGGTTTAGGGTTTAGGGTTTAGGGTGTGGATGGTGGTCATATGTATGCATCTCCTCAGGGTTTCCTCCGTGCTGCTGAGCAGCACAAGGATGCGTCTCCTTTGTCAGTGGAGCAGCAGCTGAGGTTCTATGGTTTGTATAAGAGAGCCACTGCCGGCATCTGTCCCCCTAAACAGCCCTCTCGTTTTAACATCCGCGAATATAAAAAATGGGTATGCAGAGACTCACCAGCTAACCGAGCAACTAGCTACGTAGCTGCTAGGTAGCTGACCAGCCAGCTAGCTAGCTAGCTAGCTAGCTAAAGCAGCAGCGAGCTAGCCACCTATTATCTCCCACTACCCTTGAGCTAGAGGATTACTGTTGCTGCTTGCTTGCTTTCAGGAGGCATGGAAGGCTTGCAATGGATTGTCTGCCTTGGAGGCAAAAAGAGAATATGTGAAGAAGGCACGAGAGGTGAAGAAGCAGTATGCGCGGCTGTAGCTGAGGTGTACGTACAGCTGATGTGTACGTACAGCTGGCACTGGCACTGCGAAGAAGCAGTGCCGAAGCCAGAGCGCGCTAAACGCTAAAACCTGAGGGTTTAGGGTTTACGGTTTAGAGTGTACATACGGTGCAACTGAAGCCAAAGGCAAAAGCAAACAAGAAACATAGTGCAAGAGGACAGACACTCGACAAGAGTCTCCTTGCTGTCTCCCTGTACACCTCAGCAACTGTCCCTTTATCGGGAATTTGAAGGAAGAGACACGCAGCGTATTGTCTCTTCTTATTTTCTAGATGGCGAAAGGGGCAGCTGTGTCCCATATATACGCATATATACGCACATAGATATCTACATATATTTACATATATATATATATATATATATATATATATATATATATATATATATATATATATATATATATATAGGTTTCTTTGGAGGCAAGCGCTTCGGCCTCCGTACGCCTCGTTTGGGGGTCCCCGCTGATCAGCATGAACTGCTGTCAGTGTTGCTATTTGGATGCATCTGTCCCCCTTACAGTAGTGTAATACAACATGATGATATTAATAAAAACAATAATACAGTTTATATTCTGTAAGCTAATGATAAACATACTGGAGTTAAGAGTAGGGATATTATAGGTTCACTGCAGGACACTGACGAAACTTGCCTCCTTTTTCTGCGTTTTCTTTCTCTCTTCTGCGGTGTTGTGCCTCGCTTTCTCCTTGATAGACACATTGAGAATGTATCAGTGAATAGAAGTAGGAGCAGACGTGCAGCTGAAACGTCTCCGGTGTACGTACACCTCAACAGGCACAGGCAAAGAGACGCACAGGACACAGGGCCTCCAGGAGACACACACACATATATAAAGCCTGACGGGAGAACCCACAAGGGACAGGAGACACATCGGCAAAGCGGAGAGAAGAGACACTGGTGTATAGACAAACGTTTGTCTCCCTTTCTCCATGTTTTGGTCCTCCTCCCCCGACCCGTCTGCCCCCACTAGCTGCCTGTACACCTCGGCACGCTGGTGCTGCTGCTGTTGTTGTTGCTGCTGTTGTCACTTATCTAGCTAGAGAAGGAACGGCCCACGCAGCGTTCTATAACATGTGTAACTTGGGCCCCCCCCCAACGTTGCTGTCTCTGTTGATCTCGGTGGCTGCTCCCCGTTGGGTATGCTGTAGGGGCTGCGGTTAGCATTTTCGGCTTCTCTTCTGTGTGTGTGTATGCTAAGTGTTGGGGTGTATGTGCAAGTTGCATGTGTACGTACACCCGGGGCCTCGTACAGCGGGCGGGGGCCCCAAGGGAGCGATCCCACCGGAGACCCGAGCAGCGCGCTTCTTGTCTGTGTCTTCTTCTGCAGCTTCTTCACTGAAACACCATCCCTTTGCTATTCTTTATTTATTTATATGCTATTTATCTCCTCCCCGTCACCTTCTTTGTAGAGACAACGCACAAACAAACAATACACAAAAGCGTCGCTCGCCCCAGGCATTCTCGCCCTCAGCCTTCTTCGGCTTAATGGCTGGCTTCGGGCCCCTCACGGCGGCAACTGTTCTCTATCTGAGGTGTATATACACCTCATTTCTCCTGTTTTTCTTTTAAACTCGGCAGATCCTCCTCGCGTGCTCGCCTCAGGACCCCCCCCCCCCCNCGCCTCAGGCCCCCCCCCCCCATACCTCCTTGCAGCAGCAAATCCCGGGGGGCCCTGTATAACAGGGTACAGAGTTGAGTTGGGGGCCCCAATTCGTATATAGTAAAGCTATTCCCCTTAGTTTTCGTGTCTCTTCAGCTGCGACGTGCCCCCGCCGGTCCCTCCTCTCTCCTCAACTCGGGGGCCCACGGGGGCCCCCTCGCTGTCTCCTTATCCCTCAAGGGCCCTCAGCTGGCGTTATGAGGACCCGCAATCACCATGGCTCCCACAGATATGGGTCCGCTGCAGCAGCAGCAACAGCAACAGCAACAGCGTCCGCGGCAGCAGCAGCAACAGCAGCAGCAGCAGCAGCAGCAGCTTCCCGTCTCGGGCCACCACTTGGGGCTTATAGTTCCCCTGCCCTCTGTACACAGCTGCTTTGTCCGGCTGAGGGGCCCCCCTTCTGCTGCAGTTCTTTGGAGGCCGCAACGGCACTTCTGTCGCGTGCTGCAGCTGCAGAAGCTCTCAACCCCAGAAACAGGAGACTTCTATGAGCACACAGGGGGCCCCCCAAAGAGTCTTGCAGAGGTAGCAGCTAGTATGGGGGCCCCCCAGCTGTATGTGGGCTGGCTGGGTACAGGGTTGGGCCCTTCAGAGGCTGCTTTCTTGCGAGAAGCGACAGCAGCAGCAACAGCAGCAGCAACAGCAGCAGGAGCAGCAGCAGTAGCAGCAGGAGTGGAACATTTGCCTGATGTGGTGTATATCGGGATGGCTGCTCCTCTCTGTTCCTCCCTTGGCCTCAAGAAGGGGGAGCGAGTAGTGGTTGCTGCGGTAGACGTGCACCAGCTGGAGCAGCAGCAGCAACAACGGCAGCAGCAGCAGCAGCAGCAGCAGCAGCAAAGTTTCTTTCCGTCTTCAGTGGAGGTGGCACCTCTAGACCGAGAAGACTGGGATGCGGTGCAGCTGCATGCGGAAGCACTGGAGGAGGAGTTGCTGCAGCAGGTCGCCCTCTGTGTCCCTGAGCAAGCCCTTCCCCTCTGGATCAAAGGCAGCTCCAAACCCTTCTTCTTGCGTGTCTGTACACCGCAGCAGGAGATAGGGGGGGGAAAGCAAGACCTGCGGGCCCCCGGGGGGCCCCTGGAGACTGATGGCAGAGGGGCAGGGCCCAAGGGGCCCCCCTTTCTGCTGCTTAGCCAAAACACAGAGCTCCACGTGAGGCCGCCCCCACAGGCTGCCTTCCGCAGGGCCGCCTCATCTGCTGCTGCTGATGCAGAGGATGGGGGCCCAGAAGGAGACAGCAGCAGCAGGAGAGACGTTGTGCGAGTGCTGCCCATGCAGCACGAAGAGACATACGAGCCGGCAGACGGGCACGGGGAGGCCTGTACTGCATCTTTTGGTTCCTGCTGCTGCTTCTGCTGCAGCAGCAGCAATCAAGAGGCCCCAGAAGGCCTGGGTAAGTGGCCCTATGTGTGTTTGTTGCACCCTGCTCACGTGGAGGCGCTGCAGCAGCAACAGCAGTGGCTGCTGCCAGCCCTCAGAAGCAGATGTCCCCCACGGGAGACAGAGGAGACAGTCTCTAGTAGGGGCCAGAGGGCAAGGCTGGCGAGACAGTTGGTGCAGTGTGCTGCAGCAGCAGAAGGTTTGGTGGTTGTGTGTGTGCGGGGTGCGCCTGCAAAAAGTCGATATCCTGGGAGCAGCAGCAACAGCAGCAACTACAGCAGCAGCTGGCAGGGCGGCTCCGCTTTGCTGCTGGCTGCTGCCGCAGCTGGGGTCCCTCTGGGCTGCATGCGGCTGCCAGCCTTCGTGCGGTGTCTGTACAGCTGGAGCATCAGCAGCCGTGTCTCAGTGGAGGCTGTGGCACAGCTTCCTACCCTCCCTGCCTGTCTCCTGCTGACGCCGATTGTCTCATCTTCGTTGCTGCTGCCGCACCTAGCGGGGGGCCCGGAGGAGACCGGCAGTAGGGCCCATACAACAGGCAAGGGGCATGCTTGTGCTGCCAAGGAGTCTGCTGCTGCTCTTCTTGCTGCGCTGCTGCACACCAAAGACGGCGCCGCCCGGATCCTCGAGGCCTTCTTCGCTCTCTCAGACACGACGGCTGCAAGCTGCAGAGATTCTGCAACAACAGCAGCAGCGTCTGCCGCTGCTGCTGCAGCGGAGCAGCCACACGCCGGCGCAGAGGGGAATCACGAGCAGCAGAAGCTGGAGGCTGCCGTTGCTGCATTTGGCTGCTTAATGGGCCGCGTGCTGTGGGATGGAGCTGTCGTCCACCTCGACCTGAAGCTGAAGACACAGGACATCCGCAAACTCCTCACACGCAACGGAGCAGAGACAGCCCAGCAGCAGCAGCAACAGCAGCAGCAGCAGCAGCAGGACGGGGTCGTGGAGACAGCTGCTAGGGGCCTTCTTCTCGGTAGCCCCAGTTCGTTCGAGGCCGTTTCCGAGGGGCATTCGTCTCCTTTAGCGGAGGGAGTTGAGACCGGCATGCAGGGCCAACCAAGGAGACACCTCACAGAAAGCAACGGAGCCCCTGCAGCCAACGGAGGCCCCCTGGAGTCTTGGCTGGGTGCGGAGCTGCAGGAGCTGGAGGAGGGGCTGGGGGACTTGTACGTATCTTCAGCTGGCGAGGCTGCAGCAGATAAAAAGGAAGAAGCAGCGCCTCTCAACTCACCAAGTAGCAACATACACCCACAAGGCACAGGAGACAGTGAACAGGGCACAGAAACAAATGGGCCCATCCCGCCGCAGGGCTCCCCCCGTCTGCAAGGTTCTACTAACCAGCTGCAGGGGCCCCACGAGTGGGCCCATTTAGCAGAGTTCTGCAGCGAGGTGGAGGAGGTTCCAACCGAAAGTCTCTGGGGGAACCCCTGGTGTACGGGGGATCAGGAGACAGCCTCGGGAGACGCTGTCTCCTTAGAGGGTGAGGGCAGCGGTGCAGGGACTGCGGGCCAGTGTGAGACATCGTGTAAGGCCCCGTGGTGGGCAGAGGTGGAAGGAGACAGTGGTGGTGAGGTGCGGTTGTCTGTCGATGTTCTCATATCTTTTAATGCAACGGAGACAGATACAGGAGAGATATCCTGTGCCGTTTCCGCAGGGACGGGCGAGTCACCTAAGCAGCTGTCTCCTTTGTTTAGTGCTGCAGTGCCCCTTCCGTTTGCCTCCCTGCACAGCAGCCAGACAAACGCCGGGACCCAGACGCATGCAGGGGACGGGGGGAGTTGTATGTTTTTAAATGCTTCGCTGAGGGCTCTAGTGCGGCAGGGAGGCCTCGCAGCGGAGGTCACGAATCCCCTCGTGGTGTGTCTGGGGCCTGAGGAGGAGACCGCTGCAACATCCGACGGCCTCTGTCTCCCCCTAAAGTTGGGCAACGAGCCCGTCGCGAGAGAGACACCGGGGACACCGCAAAGCCCCCAACAGCGCAGAGATAGGCCTCCAAGGGGGCCACAGGCAGAGAGACACAGCGACAACGGACGGTACCGGGGGACGAGGGGACTGCAGCTTGTGCTTAATCCGCAGTCAATCGAGGCAGCGCAGTGCCTCTGGTGGCTGGCTCCCCCCTCTGTCTGGTTGTGGGGGCCGTCTGCACTGGCAGTTGGTGGGGACGGCGGTGGGGGCGCCGAGACGCAGCTGCTGCAGCTGCTGCAGCAAGGCTGCTTGGAGATGCCTTCGGCGGAGGTTCTAGGAAGCGTCTCCAGCAGCACCAGCAACCAAATTTCTCCTTTTGGTCCCCTGGCGAGGTTGATGCGGCTCAGTTGCTCCCGAGGTCCCCTCCTCCACGACTTCGCGCGACTAAGAGCCTTTGGAGAAATGCCTGAAACCCTGGCCCGAGCAGGCAAGCAGATATGTTGCATGCGCTGTCCCCCTGCTCGGTGATAATGTAGCGATATTGTCGCTAGATGTCTGTATAGCCCGTAGGTGTTTAGTTTTTGTCATCGCATGCATGCAAGTCAGCAGGCTTATGGTGATGGAGTCAAGTTACCTAAAGAGGAAAAGCATAGAGACGCTGGCTGTCCCTCTCCATTGTATATCACAGAATTCTTTTTTTGTCGCATTGTGAAGTAGAGGTTTACTGCAACAAAGGAGCAGAGACACCTCAACCAAATCCAGATTCGTCCTGAGCTTGTTTCGTTGGGCCTGAACAGAAGCCTGTTGCAGTGTGTGTGTTACGGGTATTGGGTCTGCAGTGTACAGGCGGCTGGGGACAGTTCGCGAGTGCGGCGGGAGAGAAGCACCGGGACGTCTTGCTACTGTCTCCTCGAGCGACGGATCTGAAACGGAGAGACACCTCGCCCGGGCCTTGTGCAGCCTCGACATCTCCACGCTGCTTGTACGCGCAGCAGCACAAAAGGGTCAATGAGGGGAGAAGGAATTGAGGGCTGGCAGCATGGCTTGCATGCTCTCGCACACGCATGCAGATTTAAGGCCTTTAATATGTATGAATGTGCATGCTTCCCATTATATTGATAGCTGTCTGAACGGGCCCCAACAATTCGTGGTGCGCTGCTCAAGGTGTGGGTATCCTGTGTTGTTCATGCCTCCTCCGCTGAGGGAGACAGTGAGCTCTAGAGGGGGAACAGGCTGGTGGTTGCTGCGTTGCGCATTGCATGCGTTTTGCAGGTCTGCGGCCCTCGTGGCTGCGGGCGGTCTGCTCTGTGCAGAGCCGTCTGCGTCGATGTGACGCGGCACTTGGGTGTCTTTAGTAAGACATAAGAAGACGGGGGGGAGGGGTCATTTCAGTAGTCAGCGTAAGCCGGTTGCAGGTAGGTGTGCGTACACCCGAATTTGTGTGGGGTGATGCGGCGTTGCTCTCAGCTTTGATCCTGCACTGCCGACTGCTGGCCAGGGAGGCGATCCCATCTTCTCTGATATTTCGAATCCTCGCCGCCGCATTCGACGCGGTGGAGGCCAACAGCCCCTCTGTGTTGGTGCTTGACGATCTGGTCAGTGTATGTACACAAGGGGACGCGCACCATCCGTGTTGCCCCTTGGTACAACTACTAGTATACTCCGAGGTTTCTTATATTATCAAGTTTTAATATATTTGGTTATACATATATTGTGTTTACTCCTGCACGGAGACTCTACACCTCGTATTAAGCTCTTAAAGCCCTTGCCACCGCACAACAGTAGTTGTGGTGTTACACACGCATATTCGCTGGCACTACAGACACCGGATAGTGTGTTTTATGTCTCCAGCTGTTCCTTCGTTGCTGCTGGTTGCCTTGTGCTGTGGGGAGAATCACTGTTGCAGTAAGAGAGAAGAAAAGAGACTCAAGCTCGAGTGGGGTTTTGTTTGCACCTGCAGGATGTGTTGTGTTTTTCGGGGGAAGAAGGTGCCGGTGGGCCGACGGTGGCAGAGGCCCGGGGTGCGGCAATTGCTGCTTATCTGTGTGATATGATCGAGAGGGTATCAGGCGGGGCTCACGGAGTAAGCTGCTGTGTAGATGTATTAGAAGGAACCCAGGGCACCACTCCAAGGAGACAGGGGACTGCAACAAGGCGGGTTCTAACTCTGGCCACAGCAGTTAGCGCGTCGTCGCTGCACCCCCTCCTCTCGCAGCCGCTGCTCTTTGGCTGCTCCCGTGTAAACCTGCACTGCGATACCTGTGAGCCAACATAGCTGCCTCCCTACCGGTCTACAACTCCCTGTGTACAGTTGCCATCTGGGGAGCGTTCACCCCTCACAGCCTGGGGAAAGAAGACAGCTCCAGTCGAAGGAGAGCCGAGGCTATATCTATATTTACATCTATATCTATATCGATATATATATATATATATATATATATATATATATATATATATATATATATATATATATATATATCTATGTCTATATCTGTATCTATATCTATCTTTACATGCATATCAACACAATGGGTGTAGATGTCTCTGTGCATGCAGCGAGTGTTGGCGCCCGCCTCGAGTTGCTGCAGAGCCTACTGCAGGCAGAGATGGCCAGGCCTGGAGGACGCGCCCATGGCTGCTGTGTGCGCCACTGCTGCCCCAGTGTGTCGCGCGAGCCAGGAGTCTCTCGCTGTCTAGACACTCCACTAAAGATGGAAGACGAAGAGATATGGGATATCGCAAACCAACTCGAAGGCTACAGTCTCGCTGACCTATCCGTAGGGCTCCTTGCCCCTTTTTCAATGCTTCAGGACAAATATAAAATGAGGCAGCACGTTCTTATTCATATCGCGCGGCATACACAAAAATGAAGACAAACAGGATCACCCCTGTGCTGATGTTGCACTCGTCAGGATATCTCTGCGCATCAACTTATTCTGTCGCATGCGCCTGCAGCCCAATAACGGGCCTTGGCGGATTTTCTTCTGTTTCACCATTCAATCTGCAGAACGCATGTGTCTCATTTCCCTTTATGTGTATCGTTTCTTTTCATCTCTCTGTTTGCCCTTCGTTTGTCTCATCTTCATTTGTCTCCTTTCTCTCGTAATGGCTCTCCCTTAACTTCGTGCGTGTCCTTTCTCCCTTCCTTTCGACTTTCCATCTATCTCCGCTTCATTCTCTCCAACTCCCATGTATCATCACTAAGCTCCTTCCTCTCTGCATGTTGCCCTTCTATTCACATTTTACCTTTCCTTTTTTCTCTCTTTTTTTCGCCGTTGTTTGGTTTCCCCCAGGCCCTGGTCAGGCGTGCGGTGGGGGAGAGTCTGCTCAGTGAACCGTGGAGCTACCCGTCTGCAGGCTCCCCGCCCTCACCTATCATTTTAGCCCGGCATTTCCGGGATGCTTTGAAGGACTTCCGCCCTCGAGCCACTCAGTGGCAGTCGTTCATTCAGTGCGTTCGGCTATCGGGGGTCTCTCGTCGTACCAGCAACGCAGGCTCAAGCGTCGCTTCTGCGTGTTACTGCTTCTATTAGGGCCACATTTAGTGCATTGCATGCAACGCGTGTTTTGAGGTTGTCAGTCATTCAGCTGGCGTGTGGTGTTGATATTCCCTTCAGGCCGGAGCTGCGCTACTGCCACGTTGGGGGGTTGCACACAGTGAGTGCTGGGAGACACTTATTGCCCTCTAAGGCGCTTAATTTTTTCCGGGTGTCTTTATATAGGACCTTTATGTATTATATGTTTTATGTGCATATATATGTATGCCTGACTGGATAGGTTTTCTTTGTGGTATGAGGGCTGCAGGAGAAGGAGGAGCTGCAGGACTTACTGACTCTGCAGCGGAGGTATCCCGTGTTGTTGAGGGCCTCGGGAATTTCAGTGTACCAGGGTCTGGTACTGGTGGGCCCTCCTGGGTGTGGAAAGACGCACCTTGCTCTTGCTGCTGTGGGGGAGGCGGGCATCCGTTGCATTCAGTGAGTCTAGCGGCAGAGCGAGACACAGATTGTACGGACTCCCCTTCCCCGAGACGCAAATAAAACACGGGCTCCAAGGGAAACCCAGTGCGTCGTGCAACGTAGAGGACCTGCAAGAGGCCAGCTGGTGTTGTTGTGTTGTTCGTCTGCGTGCAGCGTCAAGGGCCCCGAGCTGCTTGGCAAATTCATCGGCGCTAGCGAGGCCGCCGTCAGAGATGTGTTCCAAAGGGCTCAAGCGGCGAAGCCCTGCGCAATTCTATTTGATGAAATTGAAGCCTTGGCGACGAAGTGAGCAGCTCCTCTTTCCAGTTATTGTTTATTCGTCTTTGGGCGCTCCTCTCGTTTTTTATTCTGTGTGTCTGTTGCTTTTGTATTGCTTCTCCGTCTTTCTTCCTGTTTTCGTTTGCATACGTTTGTTTATTTGCCTTTTCTTTCGTGTGCCTGTTGTTCTTCTGCTTGTTTCTCTGTACACCTGGCTGGCGTCACCAGCTGGGATTCTGAGCGATGGCTACCAACCCATCGAACGGAGTGAAGTTGGCTGTTGCTCGCCGTGTGTGCGCACAGGCGTGGAGGCGACACTACAGGAGTAACTGACAGAGTGGTGAATCAGCTCTTGTGTTACTTGGACGGCATTGAGGCGCGCCAGGTATGGTTCCATGCAGCATTTTGAAAACTCCTTCGAAACAGCGTAAAAGCGTTGAATCTATGTTGTGCATATATAGTATATACTTACATATAATATATAGATGTTTATATCAATGCAAAGTGTCTTACTTCGTGGATGGCGACAAGGGGAGTACGGCAGTCTGATCATAGCATAAAAAAGACGACGGGTTACACCCCGACGTTGGGTTCTGTGTTCAGGATGTTTTTGTGATTGCGACAACGTCTCGCCCTGATCTTGTTGACTCTGCTCTACTGCGTCCCGGGCGGTTTGAAAAGGCGAGTGGAGCGCGGCGGTTATCTTAGCCTCCTTCATGTGGAAGGGATTGTTATGAATGTTGTGCGGATTCGGTTTCAAACCTTACGCGTTGCACTTCTTCCTAATGCGGATCCTGCTGTTTTATGCGCTACTGTTGCCGCTGGAGTCGCGTTTCCCCCTGTACATCGTTGCATTTTGTAGCAAGGAAAGAGTTCGATGAGTTATTTGCTTGCGTTTACTTCCAGGTCTGTTTTTGCGGACTCCCTGCAACGGACGGTGAGAGGATGGAAGTGCTCGCAGTAGCGCTCAACTCTCTGAAGTGTGAAACTTCGTTGGACATCAACGTTGTGGCACCGATGCTGCCGTGGACATTTAGCCCGGCAGATATTCAGGTATTCGCCAACTCCGCTTTGGCTGTGGTTTATTCAACTGGAGGCAATCACCTGTACCAACCAAGAAATGAGCTGCCTGCCTGGCATAGGCGTTGAATCGGAATGTGTTGTTGTATGCTACGTTGGGTTACAATCTGTTGTGTCATAGGCAGCAGTAAATCAGGCGCAGCTATACGCCGTTCAGGAGGCCCTTGAAACCTCTGCAAGTATGCATTTGAAAGCAACGTCGCATCTTTACCTGATCGTGTGTATCCTTCGTCGGTGGTATCGGGTAAACCAATGGGGGGTGCAGCTTTTCTAAAGAACGTGTGAGAGCGCGTGCTTTCTTGTGGTGCAGATCGAGAAGGTTCGAGTGAAGTGGAACGGATTACAGTCACTACTAAGCACATTCTGGCAGCCATTCAAAGTTGCAAGCCTTCTCTGAGCATGCAGGTATGATGCAACTGAACGACTACGATATTCATAAAATCTATTTTATACGCACAGTACATTATATAGATGCAAACCTGGAATGCTGGCACTGCGCGCGCTGCACAGGAACTTCAGCGATATCATCGGTACTGTCTTCCCTATTTGAACAAGGCATACCAAGAGCGGGTTCAAGCAATCGAACACTTAGTTGCCGCTAGCTCGTCCTCCGCGCAGAAGGGCGCAAGTGGTGGCTTTGGATATGCTGCCAGCGTGAATGGTTGCGCAAATCAACCACGACGCCTTGCGGAGGGGCAGGAGCATTTTGACCGCCGGCCGCACGCAAGTGTACTAGGTTCGAAGGAAAGAGGATGCCACGTTCCGCAGACACAACAGGCTGCCGTAGGACTTGGGCGGGCCTCCGACTCTAGCCTGAGTTCCACTTACCTCGATGCTAACGGCCACAAAACCTGTACCAGCGACCAGGAGAGTGTAGGCGATGGAAACTTCCAGTGCACTAGCAGTGAGACGACGCACAACTTGGACGGCGAATTTGTGCCCCCCAAAAAGGGACGGCGGCGTGCAAGAGATCCGGCAAAGCTTGCCGGTAATCGTGTGGCCTTGGCGTGAAGCTACCAGAGAAACTACCAACTCCTCAGCGCGTGCGAAGCACTGGGTCCTACAGCTTGCTTCGTGCACCTCTCCTGGAGTGGCAACGGGCGCTGTAGGTACCCGCACTCTGTTCTGTGGCAAAGAAACCACTTCACCATGTATAAGTTTCCTTGTTACAAAGCGTCCTCACCGTTAGGAAGCTCGGCTTAGGACGAGCCTGCGCCTTCCGATTCAGAGCTCCTCTAGTTTTGTTGATTGAGCTTATAATACAGCAGTTGGGCCAGGGCAGCTACTGGCGCTCTGCCTCACGCGTGCTCCTTTGGCGGCAGGGCCAATTGAGGCCGGCTAAGTGAGTAGTGAAACGTCACTGCTGTGCTGCGGGTCTTGGCGGTTGGCTCCCGGCAACCAAAACACACAAAAACGGTTGTTCACAAAGCTTGCAGCTTCAGGAGTGCGGGACAGGCAAGTGGGTAGCAAAGCTATGCCATGCCCTTTACGACTGGTCCGTTGTAATGTATGGGGCGCGTTTTGAGTTTAATTTGGGCAAGCGATCCTGTGGAATCTGTGCTGGCGACTTGAATATGCAGTTCAAAATGGCCAAAGGACTTTCGGCGTATGCACGAATGCACCCCGAGAAACGAACGCCCCATGCGGCCTGTCTTGTGCACAGGTTGTAAATTTGCGTTTGAAGATGGCGGCTCCGTTTGGAGTAGTACAATGTCAATAATTAGAGGTAATTTCTGTTTGATTTTTAAACGTTCATCTTCTTGTGTTCCCTACTCTTGCGCAGCGAATCACTCAATGGCTTAAGATTGCTCGCAAATGATGTGGTGCAGTGGACCAGCTGAAGGTGACCTTCTGCCTCGAAGGAGAAATGCACTTCCTTAGTAGCAGACGGGGTCAAAAATGTCTAATAAATGCCCCGATACTTCACGTATTGCATTTTTAGCCATAATATATTTAATTCCAGATGGTTAACTGTTGGCGCCCGCGAAGCCAGATAGACGGGCGTTGAATGAGCAGATAGGCTTTGGGCCCAACGGCGTCGTTTGTGGGGCCCCGTCGCCGCCCTACACGAGAAACCTACAGCACAATAAAGGCATCAATGCGTCTATAAAAGGGGTTTTAGGTGGTATGAGTGCGAGTGGACTGAACTCGCAAACTTGTAACGAGGTTCGGTGTGCGAGCGCCCAACATTTGAGCCCGCACAGCAGGTCCAGCGCAGTGCAGTGGAACATGTCCATTACGGCGGATCTGTTCACATGCTAGATACTTACAGCAGCAGGTATTCCTAATCGATTTACAACTGGCAGGGCTGTTGTTGCGGGCAATACTCACGTTCCTTTTTCACTTCTCGCGGTTTGTGCGAGGAAGCCTCCGTCGCGCTGTTATTTTCTGGCACTTCGTGAACATGAAGCTGCTACTTTCAGCCCTATTTGTCTCTTGCTTTGTGTCGCCAATAGAGGGGTCAGCCGTGCCGACTTCTGTTGAGGCAACAGACCCAGGCAGTTCATCCAATCCAGCCGCTTCTAAGACCAACCGTTCAATTGGCGACACTGACACTTCTTTTGGCCGCGAAGCTGCAGTAAGATGGTCGTACACAACTCCCTTTTCCGATCTGGCCCCTCGGCAGAAGGTAATGGGTGTGATTAACACAATCGCTGTCCTGAGAACCAAGGCATCCCTCCTCGAAGAAATGAAGCATGCATTTGAACCAAGGACTACCGCTAAAAGTCCAGGAATCATCAATGGTGGTTCGCTTCCTGGGCCGGCGCTTGCATACGGGGACTGTCGTTTAGGAATACTTCCATTCGAAGTGTGCAGACACCTCGGCTTTCTTGACAGTGATCCCATGGTTGCTCCCAGCTCTACACAGAGCAAGCTGCTCAGGCTTGTAGGGGCCAGCTCTCTTGTCGCCTCCTTGAAGAAAGGGCAGGCATACCTCAGCGACGACCCTCATCTGAACTCAGTCCTAGGACCTCAGCTTCTGGATTATGCAATTAGAGCTCTAAGCCTGTTTTGGAGTTCCCAGCTCCTCACCCCAGCTTTCGAAATAAGAGGAATACACTCTGACCAAATCAAGCAGGCGTTGTACTATGCTGACGCCTTCCTCTTCCAAACTGCAACGCAAGCTAAACACATCATTCGTTTCAGCCGGACAGAGTACGATGACGTAGCGAGTTGGCTGGCACTGCTATTCTCGGACGCAGAACCAAACGCAAGTGCTCACAGAGAAGGGGACCTACAACATGAAGATATTCCAAAGCTCTCAGAAGAAGCAGCAGCGAATCCGCAAGGTGAAGAAGCAATTAGCGTCAGGTCAGTTCAAACACCGGCCCAAGTGCCCTCTGCCCACAAGGAAGAAGAAGGCGGGATGTTTGGTGACTTCCTCAGCCGGTTTTTCACACCACAGCCGTCCCAACCATCCCAATCACCTTCCATACCACCACCCCAACAGCCCGCACAACCAAAAAGCACGGAACGAGAAACAGCGCCCATGAATTCTCTCTCCGCATTTGCCAGCTCTGTCGGGGAGGGCCTGACATCCATCGTAACGAGTACAGCCCGAAGTGCCGCTAAGCTTATTCAAGGAGAAACACCTGCTCCTTCTTCAGGATCCAAAGAATCACTTGTTGATCAGGTGACTGAAGAGCGCGTCAGCAACATCTTAAACGCGCTCCCCGAAAAAGTCGATGGCCAGTTCCGATGAGCTACGCGCCCTCATGCTGGAATATTGATTGGTAAACCATATATTGCGTGAACAGCTCAGCGTACAGTCCTTCCTCGTCTGTGGCTGTCTGTTATGCTCAAACCGTGCTAGTATAATGCCATCCACTGTGCCCAAGCGGCACCCTTATCCAGGGTACGCCACTGACAACCTTTGTTCTGCGTTTCATGTATTTCATCCCCTGCATAGGGCAGAAATGCCATGAATCCATCTACCCAACCAACCTTCTGAAGCTACATCACTAACTAAAAATACCTTTCTTCTAGCTATTGCTGAGTACCGACTGGTGGCGGTCCAACTCGTACCTAGAGTGATTTCTAGGCCTATGCTTACTCTATTGAACGCAATGGTTCAAAAACCGTGCAATCTACGCCACGCCTGTTCCCCCTGTTGCGATCCTACAACACAGTTTTATACGCTGGATGGGTTGACGCAAGTCAAAGTTACATCAGTCATTGACAATTGCGATGTGCTCGACGAAGAGCTTGTAGCGCCACCCACAAAGCGGGACACAGACAAACCTTAGTTCACTACTGGCAGAGTTGCTAACCCTTGCCAGGGATATTCTACGTGGCGCCTTGGCAAAAAGATGATCGGCATGCCTTGCGCATCTAGCAACTTTTCGCAGCAGCTCATCACGGTGCGGAAGGATCATACTAGATACTAGATATCTAGTAGATACTTAGAAGTTGTATGTTGCAGCATCGCGCCACTGCACAAGAATCTCGACCAACTGATCACGCTCCTTCTGTGACTTGGCCCGAAGAGGCAGCTCAATGCCTGCTGGATTGTCTTCATTAGGTGGACCGAAGATGCACAAACAAATCTTCGAGGTAACTGCGAACAAGACAGGTCAGCAAACCGACGAACGGGATAATGTAAGTCTACAATGCATGTCCCGATATGCACAAAAGTAAAACAAAGGAAACGCAACAGGCAAAGTTCATCCAAAGGAATCGAGGAATCCGTAAGCGGGAAACACCTAAACTGATACAAACAGGCAACTAATGGGCGAAATCTTGCAACGACTAACCGCTCCTCGACTTCTTGTTTGCCTTGACAAGTGCAGGGTGAGACAACCCCTTCGCAACGTTACGGATCCGAACAATAGGCACGCGATTGTTCCAGTCTGTCTCATTGCCGACATTCCACTCAAACGAGCTGCGAACAAGCCGCAAGCAACAACAATGTAGCTGTATTGCAACACGGTCACAGCACCCCGGGATGGGCGACTACACCAGGATCAATCACTTACTTGAGGTCCTGCGAACTACGCCATCTGATCTTCTCTGCGTCCTTGTCTCCAATGTACACTTTGAGTTCGCCACCCTTACGAAGGGCTTCCTTCACGTGAACCGGCAAGTCATGTACGCCATTCGGATATGGATCCACATTCCACTGCGTGATTTTCATGTCCAGTTCGGTTACAGTCGATGCGAATGCGTCCATAGGATCGAGATCTGAATCAATTTCACATGCAAAAGAGCAGGTTTCATTGTCGCTCCGTTGGGACGACTGACAAGCTTTCCAACTGACAAGCGATGGACCGTTATTCATCCCCAATACTCACTTGAACCCAGCGCTTCCAGCGTCTTCTGGCACTCATCGCGAACAGCCTTCTCCTCTGGTTTCTTGGTCCCTATTTTCGATATGCTCTGAAGCAACGCTCACGCAAGACAACGCCAACGTCGAAGTAATCACTGGATAGACGCCCCACTACAAGCAACACAGCGTGAAGTAGTCATCTGAGACTTACAGTTTTAAACGCTGCCACAAGTTCTCTTGTCTTGATACTATCATACATGTCCCCCGATGTCATGGCGATTGAGTTCACAATAATGCATGAAAGCTGAGTAAGAGACATCTCCCCTGGGAAGGTGTTGAGGGCCTGCATGATCATGAGTTCTCCTCCACTCCCAACGAAAGAGTCCTGGCCCATCTGCTCCGACACGAAGTACGCAGCTACACCTGTGTCGAAACGGCGAACAGAACAACTAGAAAAAAGTGAAAAGGATAGTGAACATCGAACGGAGAATACGAAAGGGGACCTCCAAATCATGCTAGCCAGACTGATTGCCATACACATACATGCCATGGCACTGTTAGAAATATGCAAGCCCAGACGCTTACCAAGAGACACACGCTGCAGACGCAGCTGTTTCGCATGGCTTTCAGAACCAGCGCAAGCGCAAACAGCCTGAATAATAGCTCCGATCATGACCTCGTCCATCCCCATATGGTACCAACCACCTGCGAAGCACCAACAGAAGCGCGGAACGGCATCCATTGATGATTCTGGAATAAAGGCAGAACATCGCATCCCAATGTTGCTCTGTAACCCTGCAAAATGAACTGTGATACTTGCCATAGGCGGCATTTGCAAGCTCTTCAGGGTCTGGCTCAGCCTCATGAACTTCGCCATTCTCATCCGGCACAGCACCGGACTCCTCAGCCGCCTTCGCAGCAGCTTCATGAAGTGCCTGCACTGCCGCAGCCCGTTCCTCTTGAGGTCTTGTTGTCAAGGCGAGAAGGCAAAGAAGAACTCGGCAAGCCTCCAGCATGACCATGGGCTGGTTGATAGACTTGCAAATGACATTTGCTACTGTTGCAATGCCACCTGGAGGAGAGAAGAACACGGTACAGACAGGACCCTCATACAGTAGATGCTACTGACAAGGGGAAGTCAGAACAATCCTATGGTCAGCCTGAACCAACATCGTCTTACCTGCATTGCAGTACTCGAAAGCAAGTTCCTGAGACCTAATGATGCGCCGCGTGCAACGCAGACCGCCCACAACAAGATCAGTAACCTCGTTCCCCTCGGCGTCAACTTCAACGCATCCGACGAGAATGGAGAACACATCAGCCTCCACCATGCGCTGAACTGAAGGCATTAGTGAAGACTGGATGCTCAACAAATGAATGCCTGCAAGCAAAAGGTCCGCTCAACGGAAGCATGGCAATGAAACGTGTACCTCCCTTCTTTGTTCGAGCAAAGTGATGTGAGCAAAACCCTGCCTACCTAGAGTCAACAGTCCAACATCGTAGTCGAACTGGTGTATGACACGAATTGTCGTTTCAATGCCCCCATTGTCTGCAAACGCTACGGCGTTCTCTTGCAATCTGCACAAAGACGCCTCTATATCGAGAAGGAGCATTAGAGCCTTCGTATCCTGGCGTCCTTGACTCGCAACCTGCAAAAGCGAGCAGCAACAACCAAAAGCAACGGAGCAGACGCTTGTGGTTCAGCTTCCACGGAGGTCCATAAACACATGCAAAGCAATGCCAGCATAAGCTCCAAAGGGCAACGCACTCCACCCCCCGCACACAGATGTCAGTGGTAACCTACTTGCATGCATGGTAGCAAGCAAACACCGAACTTCCGCATGTTATTGGGATCGTTCTCCATCACGAGGTTGGCCAAGGTACGGCAACCGGTTTCAAGCTGCGCATCAGGGAAATCCTCTGTCAGATTGCTTAGCCAGGCGCTGTAAGCGTTCTCGATTCCTGCAAAGCGAAGGGCATAAAATGCCGCAACTGGCGATGAGTTGCGGTCCCTAAAACCCGGGATAGAATACACGAAACCACGAAGGAGATGCCAGCTCACCGGCGTCCAGAAATGGCTGGATATTTGGCGTGTAGAGGGAAAGATTGCTAATAGCCTTAAAGAGAGACTCCAGGCAGCGTATTGCAGAGCGTTCCGTCGAACCGTCATAGTTTGAAAGACCCTGAGAATGCAACCAGCCAGCACACACAGTCGTAGCATCGAAAACGAAAAGCAAGCTGCGCCAAAGCTATACTCGGGGTCCGCGCAGTTCCCCATGCTAGTGGTTCCTCCTCACCTTCACGAGAGCAGCCGGGGCACCATTCGTGCCAAGATGGTGCTTCATTAGCTCATTCTTGTAGAGCAAGTTGCAGAGCAAAACGGAAGCAGCATTACAAACATCATACTCTTTGCAACGCTCATTTAGCACACGAACGGTCAGATCCGGACCACCCAGTTTGTGGAAGAGCTCGGTGTTCTTCTTGTGGCCAATGCAGATGTTCGCAAAAGCGAGGCATGTATTCGTGACAACTGCCGTAGCCTGTGGGTTCGTAAGGGACCGCTGGAGCAATTCATTGCACGCCGTTACGCCATCCAACTCCCCAATTTTGGTCTTGATCTCTGGCACCACCGCAAGGGAACCCAGCAGGAAGAGAACGTCGGGCAGCAGCGCTATGTCCGAGTTGACATTCTGCAGTAAAAGAGAGAAAATAATGCCAGAACTCGGTGTTCCTCCCACATCACTTGACGAGATATGCACACCTGCAGCCGAAGTATCTTAACACTGAGTATGAGTTAATGCTCACCTTGATTATCGCAATCAGGCGCTGCAACACGTTGGCCTTCAGCAGCTCATCGACGTGGGCATCTGAGACTATACGCCTCATTGCACGGAATACATGCCTCAGCAGCGCAGTCGAGTACATGCCCTTATCATAGTCATTCCAACAACGGATTAGTTCAGAGACAGCGTTCGTCTTGTTGTAGAGATTCCGGTTGACAGCAGTGCGCTCCACAAGCAGAAGCCTCGCGCAAAGGTGTTCCTCCTTCCTTTCGTTTGACAGGCTCGAGTTCTTGTTAATCCTGCTTACTGTATCCGTGACGATGCTTGGGCAGCCTACTGTCCTTGCAGAATCCTGAGCGCATGCCGGATTCTTGCAGCCTGCAGCTAGGGCCTTGACGGAGTAAAGGACAATTTCTTCATCCTTAACGCTCTTCATAATGGACAGTTCCATCTTGACGAAGTCTTGCTGCTGAAGTGCCTTGTAGTTAACAGGCGAAGTCGCAAATATTTCCAGCGCCATGTTTCCGTATTGGTGATCAGCACCGATTGGTGTTTGCCAATCCAGCTTTTCGGCGTTGTACGCATGCAACCGGCCGAATACAAACTCGAGCTCCTCTTGTAAAACTGCAACCTCCGGAATCGCGATAGAGAGGGACGATGCCACACGGCCGTTCAAGAGGTCGTAGACATCCTTGCACGTCTTCTCGTGGGGCTGGTCGTCCGCCATGGCTTGGCGGATCATGGCCGTTTTTTTCTTCAGCTCGAGAGTTTCGTCAACGCCACCAGCGTCACAAAGCGCGTCGATCTTGTTCAATGAATCCTCTACGCCATCAATGGCTAACAGCTGCCTTCCGTTGCCCTCAGCTCCACACAGCTGCATCAGTAAGTCGCAGTAAGCATCCGCGCACTCCGCGTCACTCGTTATAGTTGCCTGCGCCTCACCAGCCGCCAGCAGAGGTATTGCCTCCTTGATCGTGCGAGCCGCCAGGTTGGCATCGCTAGCTGACATTGCTGCAAGCGCTCGGCACGAGTCGCGAAGGACGCCTGGGTTGTCTGGGTAGTCCTCAATTGCCTGAATAATCAATTCGAAACCCTTCGATTGCTCGATTTCGCCAACCATCGCGGCGGCGCCAGCTGCCATGAATACCCGGCAAACCGAGCATAGCATGGTAGCACGTGCCTCCTCTGGAAGCTTTTTTGATTCTTCCTCCGCCTGCATCCTCAAAACGAGCTTCTCCAGGGCTTTTTGCTTGGCTAGAGCCTCCCCGTACGACTGAGAAAGAATCAGGCGTTCCATCAAGTTCGCGTAGGCAATCATGCGCTCCTGGCTTGCATTCGCTCCACACAGTGCTTCGCACTCCCGCAACGCAGATCCATCGGCAAACTTCGGAATCGGATCTGCTCCCGAGACAGCTCCATTGTATGCAAGAGCCCCCAGTAAATACATCCCAGATGTCACTACAGCGTCACTCTGCTGGTGCTGCTGCATCAAGAGCAGCGTAAGGGCCACTATGTCACCCGAAGATCCACTCATGTCTGCGTACAAGAAACAGCCAAAAGCACGCTACATAAACAAACCGTCCAAACCACCTAGTGTGGCGCAAGCACTAAAGGACAAATGGGTCGCTTACTCTGTGTTATCATCGCAGCTCCATTCGCATCTTCTGCGAAATATCTCAAGAATTCGAGAATACGAGCGGTCGTCTCTGCGTCATTTTTATAGGCCTCCAACAAAGTGTAGGTTTGCGGGAGAATTGAAGGCGCAACCTCCTGAAGTGTTGGCATGCTATACGGGTTGGCAGCGCAGGCGGCAAGAGTTCGGTATCCTGGGACCAAGAAGGCCTTGTTGCTGTCAACCTGCCCAGCTGCGATCATGGAGGCAATCTGGTGCAGCAATCCACTGCTTGCTACTGCCCATGCACCGTAAGAGTCATTAGGGTCGTCGAAGCATCGGTCGCACAGTCTCCGTGCCACGATAGCCACGTGCCCATGAAGTCGCTGATCTTCTGGTGCCATCTGCAACACGCTTGTGAGGGCAGTGAGGCACTTCTCCGTATGCTGCAGCGCGTCTGCTGGGTCGTCAAGCGGGGCAGCTAGATACATGGCCAACTGTGCGCACAGCGCGTCCACCGTAGCTACTGTGTTCTCGTCGTTGGTTTCAACAGCAGAGATAATCTGAAGCATGATGCTCTTGATCTGCTCATCTGCTCCCATTTTGGCAAACAGCTCGCCTCCAACCCTAGTGATCCCCTCATTATCGGGATGAAGACGCATGGCATCTGCAACCTGTCCCATGGCGCCGAGTTCTTTGAGAATTGGGCGGTCTTCGCGTGTTGTAATGCAATTCAATACACTCAGCAGTTGATATGCTGTTGCGTCGCTGTTTTTCTGCTTGTCAATTGCAGCGGTGAGAATCATGCACGGGGCGCGCACATCATTTCCGTAGAAACGACGGAGGTCGTCGTGCACACCCAGAAGCGCAAGGGTCGTTGCGGCCTCACGGACAAGTTCTTCGTCGTCTCCATAGTTCTCGATGGTGGCGAAAAGCGCGTTAACGGCGCCGGCATCGCAAATCTTCACTGCTAGGGAAGGATCATTGCATGTCTCCACCAGCTCCCTGAGCGCCTTGATTGCCACAAGCCGATTTTCCCTCTTTGGATCCTCGCTGATGATCTTAACAAGCCTATTTAGAAGATTGTCAAAATCGGGCTGTGCCACCAACGCTGCGACCCGGGAAGGAGTTGTTGCCAAGGCTGCAAGGCACCCGCAAGTCGCCGCAAGCACTGGTGCTGAGTCCTGGTAATTGTCAATGCCGCTGCAGAGAGTTGCAACAACGTTGTGCTCGAATGCGACATCTGCCGACTTCCTGTCCGTCTTGACCATGAGCCGCAAGGCCTCAAGAGAGTGTAGGGCGGCTTCCTCAGAATGCATGCACTTTTCCGTGGCATTCACAGCCCCATACATGCTCAAGACGCTCTCGACGTTCCCTGCTTTGATGCAATGCACGCAACCAGTCCTCACTGACGCCATTTGCTCAACGGCATGTGCGACTTCTGACATCGTCGCAACATACAGGTCGTTGCCGAGGATATCGTAATCCGTCGCTGACAGTGCAACCGCCTTGTTCCCAACGACGTAGTTCGCAAACCGTTCAAGGTCCGCCCCAACGCCAAGACGAGCAGCGATCTTAGCCCCCTCGGCAGACACCAGAAGCTGGTTCAGCTCGACTAGAGCTTCGTGCATGCCCACCATGTTGTTCTTCTGAAGGCAGAAAACCCACAGCCAAAATATTGATTACGTATTCACGTGCTATACTAACGCATATAACCCCTCCGCAGGGATAAAGCTGAAGTCTTACCTCCATGGCAGCCTTGCACTCTGCAACTCTCTCAGCAATTTCTCGCTCCAGAGCATCCACGGGCATCAGCAGTGCCAAGAGAGGAGCGATAGTCCTCTTGAGCTCTTTGCTTTTCGAGTGGGTTCGCATCGCCACCTTCAAAGCGGAGAGAACATTACACCTCTTCATGACTTCTGCTGAAGACGGGTCAATCTTCGCGCATGTCGCTAGAACTGTGAATCCAGCGATCTGGGCATCAAGGTACATGGGCGACTTGTTGAGATATTGCACAACAGCGTTAAGAGCTCCGGACTTGACGAGAACTTGTACGCCGCCGCCGGAGTCGCACAGAGCCAGGTAGTTTAAGGCCTCTAGGCAGTTTATCTGGGAGCGCCTGCTGTCTGCGTATTTGCGCATGACTCTCATTATTGCCTCTACAGCAGGCTCAATGTTTTCCTTGCTAATCCTGCTGGTGGCTGCAACATCCCTTGCACCCGCTGTACAGTGAACCAATATATTGTCGTCAGGCTCCTCGAGTTCCACAATGCGTTTCACTGGAGGAAGGCACGCGATTTCGCACATGCTCACTAGAACGGGCGTCAGATCTCCGTCACCATTCACCTTGATGATTTTGACTGTTTTAAGCCCTGCACGAATTACGCGGCCCTGGCCCTCAAAACGTGATCCGTCAATCCAGTTCTGAATCCCCTTCAAAATCACCTCCGCTGCAAGAGTCAATCACACACGAAAATAACAACTGCACCGACTTAACACTGACACCCGCCCTCTGCTGGGGGTAACGGTGTGCGTATATTCGCTCTTCAGCAACGCACTAATATCACGAGTAGGTGTCTACATACCGGCGTTTCTAGCCTCGAAACACTGTCGTAGATGGCTAACGCGACTAAGTCCTGCAACGGCGGCCAAGGCACGATAGGCGCGGTCGGGATCCCCCTTTGCTGTCTGGATGGCAGTATCTAAGTCGCTGAGGTGGCGATTGCAGTCATTCTCCGTCGCGATTACGCTCAGACAGTTGACACCGGAGTTCACCAGCGCTTCATTCTGTTCGTGTTCAAGCAGTGCCTCCAGTACGGCATCCACGCACTCCGTGTTGGCCATGTACGTCTTCGCATCCGCCACCTTTGAAAGCTGTTCATAAAGCTGCACAGCCCCCTGAACAATCGTTGCATCCTGGATGTTCGCCCTAATTGATGCGTTCACACCCTGAAAACCGCTGTACTCTAATATGCTCCGGACGCTGGTCAGATTGCCCGCCAGGCGGTTGAGCGAAAGAATCGCGTTCGCCTGAAAGGCTGTATCCTTTAAGTGGTAACTGCAGCACATTGCACATATCTCCACTGCCAAGTTGGCTACCATATGCTGATGAAGCTCAGCGTGCTGAGAGCCTGCGCGTAGCATTCACAAACAAACCCGGAACCCGGAGCTCCATTCCGCTAAGTCAACATTCCCTCGCACCACAGGGCATATTCTCTGCTTCAGTCCGAGAGATACAGCGTCAATCCTCACCAGTCGAAACGAGTTCCATCGCCAGAGGGGCGAAGTCAGAGTTTTCCACATGTTGGTATAGCAGTGGAAGGACAGTGGCGAATGTTTGGTATTGCACGATCTCGCTAGCAAGACTTTCACGGGCAGCAAGGGGGGTCAACGCCATGCAAAGAGCTCCCAAGCACTCTAAATTATCCGTGCAGTATGAAACAGCGGTTGCTAGGGTGGCAACTGCCCCTGACTGCACCATAGAGTCCACATTCGTGGGGTTGGAGGCAATGCGAGCCAGCATTTTCGCCGCCCCCGCAATCATCCTGTATATTTTGTCGGGGTTTGTTTCAATTTGTGTTAGGCCGCTGTTGATGAGTTCACACAAGAGAGGAATACCTCCAGCCCGCACAATCTCGTCCGTAAACGACGAGATGTAAGACATGGACCCGAGAGTTGTTAGTGCTTCGTCGTGCTCGGGAGAGCCAGGTGAGCTGGACTTTAGGGTAGCCAGGCATTGCTGCAGCTGCTCTGGCCCAATCATCGACGCCAGAGCTGCTGAACCCTTTGCAAAGGCTCCCTTCTTGCTCCTGTACTTGTCCATAACACCAATGCACTGCTCCAGCACTGTCCGCTGCGCCTGACCCTGTTCTGCCATATGCTTGCAGGCATCAAACACCGACTCGACACACTGCACTGCGGGTTCAGACATATCTCCATTCGAAAGACAGAACTCTAAAACCTGGCCCATTCCTCCCGCTGCCGCCGCTGCCTGCGCTCCAGAAGGAGAGTTCGTGGCGACAGCAAGAGCCGCCGCAACACGCGATGCCGTCTTCATGTCCACCTTTTTCGAAAAAATCGCCAGAAGTCCTGGTGCAAGGGCTCCTCCGTCCAGGGGGCTTCCTGCCTTGTGCATGTTCTCAACGAATGTCATCGTGTCCGACACAGTTTGAGGTTCGCTTGGGCAGCTGAAAACCACAGGTGAGCATATCGTGAGGGGTCAGAAACATGTCACTGTTGTGTGCCTCTGGATACATCACTTCACTACGTTCGTAATAACTCGCCCGACCGGCAGCAGCCTTCAGGGTTAACTCACTCAAGGTTGAGACAATGTCTCGAGTTAGACTAAAGTGAGCTCACCTATTGACAATCGCGAGGCACACAGCTCCTCCATGACTGGCCAGAAGTGCAGTGCGTTTGGCATCTAATTCGTCTTTGCACGCGTCGGACATGGCCCATATGACTCTCGAACAACAGTTCATAAGATCTTCGTCGTCGGGGAAAGTTTCCACTGCCGTTTGCATGGCAGGGAGGACACCCCTGTCCATTGCATCTAGAGCATTCTCCCTGATAATACACACTCAGCCCACCGCCAATGAATAGTGCCTAAAGAAATTCAGGCTGCGTTGTGGCAACATCTGGCTCGTAATGCAACCTGACACTCGCGCGTATCGTCTCCGGACTCACTGATAGAGCTGATTGGTAGGACTGCAGAAATCGGAAAGGGAGCGCAAGCCAAACAGAAGCATGCGCTTGAATTTCTGGTGCTGAATAATTCCTTGTACCGCGGTCGCCACGCCGGCATCCGGGCTTCTCTTAACTGAAGACAACAGAATCCGCAGGATCAAGGTTCCTCCACAACATGTGTTGGACGGAGTCGCTGCCCCCCGTGTGTGAACTTTCCCTCACAGGTCTCAACTCAAACAGGCTTGTGCATGCCATTCAAATAATATAGACACAGAAACGGTCATTCATGGATATGTACAAAGCAATCTCCCCCTAAACTCCTGCACAGTGTAGTGGCAAGTGGGATGCAGGGCATAATTCGTCATGGAGTCCGTGTAGCCCGTCTCGGCAAAAATGCATATTCGCAATATGACTCAATAACGAATCGAAAAGCAGAAACAAAGTGACAAAGCCCCAGCCGCTCGAAAACCTTGCTCCCAACACTGCACAGCCGGGGCACCCATTACACATCCACCCCAACTTGTGGACAAGAACCCCAAGACTGACGTTTTCCAGCTACCATCTTGGCAGGTCATTTGGAGGTTTCTCCTCAAAGAGCAAGAAGTTGAGACCGTATCTCCTGAGGCAGGAGGCGGAAGACTGACGGGAAGCACAGTTCCTGTGAGGCACAAGTTCAACAGGAGCCTGAGGTACCAAAAAGCCAAACAAGTTCCAATTATACTAGATATGCTGACAATTATTTTGTATCTGCCTTTCTGAAGAGGCGGTGTACGGAAACATGATACTCCTGAAAGCTCTTCGGGCTGGCCTTGGCGTGGCTGGCCACGGCTTGCTGCTGCTGCACACCGCAACGCAGCTTGAAGAGGGTCTACGGACAACAAAAACGACCGTCCGGCGCAAAATGAAACAAATCGTTTTGTATACTCTACACGTTCATATCATTGTACAAAGATCTATAAACAATATATATGCCTCTACATTAAAAAGCGCCGAACGCTTTGCACCATCGGTGTGTGGGCCAAGCCACCGAAGCGATGTGGGTGGGTAGGGTACCCTTCGACTGCGGCTAAGCTGGTTTCAAATTTATCATGTGTGCATCAAAATAGAGAGCATCAAAAATTGATTCAATGTGGTAGAAGTGAAGTGCTGCTTCGTCCAATCGTAACATGAGTAACGGCGATGCCGTGCCGTAGGCCGGTGGTATGGGGGAGGTAGGGTTTCGCTGCTGTACATCTAAGGTCCTGAGGTATCTCTAGGTTCGAAACAGAATAGGTTTTTGCCTACGCTAGTGATGATTCACTGCCATATGTGCAGCGGGAACCTCGAGTTGCCCGTGGACTCACGGAGGTCCGTCGGACAGTGGTCCGTGGGGTGGTGCTCTTGTTTAGGACTGAACGGTGTGCGTGCGTATCCATTTCGTTGAATTGTGCAGGTAGAGCTATGACATATGATGTTCTCGCGAGAATTCCCGTTGGTGTTTATGGAATAAACCTATCACAGTGGCCAATTTCATCTAAGTTCACAAACCCGAAAAGGGCTGAATTGTGTGCTAGGGAAGTGCGCTTCTCCTCCTGGATAACGTGTTGAATGCAAGACCGTGCAGTACGTGCGTTTTCATTCCAGTTCCCTCCACGACGAGAGGGACAAGGGGGATGCGTTTATTCCGTATATACCAGTATAACATTTCGGAACAGGCTCTTGCCAGACTTGTTACGATTCAGCGATATACTAAATCCTTCTAAGCGTTCAATCCTGTACGAGAGCACCCCACAGACCATTGTCTGACCGATCGCCCTTTTCATGGGAAGCTCGATATGCCGAGAGTTGTTAAATGCTTCCTTGCCCCTCTATACAGAAACTGTGGAGCAAGTATTTGTACACGTTACAAAATCACACCGACCATGCTGCAGGTTTGTTGGGAGCAGGACCTTCAACCACGCTTATAGTTCCTATTGCTCCAGGCCAGACTATTTCCGTATATAGGTAACATTACAGAGACTAGCGCGAAACCGTCAGAATCCGTGCTTCTCTTTGCATACGTACAGCAAGCCCCAGTTCCTCCTGAAAGAATACCGCAGGGAACTCCATACGATCTTCGCACTCACAGCTATTGGCCTCGTTAAGGACAGCCTCTGGGTAGTAAAAGGACAGTTTATCTAGTGCTTACTTCTGGGGAAGGGACGTGGTGAGTAGAGCATCTGTATATGTTGCAAAACTCAAGATTGCAGAAGACGGAAGCTAGGTAGGGAAGTAGAGCAGCAATATTTTGAACTATGCAGCCAGGCGGACGAACGCAGCGATTAGGAGAACGCGCTAGCCCCCATGCAATGTCTTGCTCAGCGATGGGGCTGAAAGGGGTGGCAGCCGCGCCTACAGATTTGTCCCATTTCGATCCTGAGCTTAGCGAATATCGCATTGATGACCAAAGGTTGCTAGTGATACTTTACGCAGACTGCGAGGTGCATCTAGTATCTGAGCCTAAAGCGATAAGGTGCAACCTGCCTGTTAATCTTTATGATGCAATCAGTGGGGCTACCCTTCGCGAACGGCAGGCACGGCAGAAGATATGGTAAAACTGTGGAGACAAAGGTTTGACTCCGTCCAGAAACAAATCATATATTTAAACGAATCGGGAGTTTCACGTTGGGCCAATTCACTACGGGACAATCCGACGCATTCCATGGGTAACTCAGTAGAGTACGCGCAATGAACCATCAGAAGAGACAATTGAGGCACATATCCAGGAGGGCAACCATAGAGCGAGCCTCTCAACCCTACCAACAGCATTGGCCCCCTCTACGGTAAGAGGTGTGAAAGCAGTGTCCGAAGCAGAAAGGGGCAAGGAGGGGCCTAGGCAGAGATGAGGCATTTCAAGGAACGACGGATAAATGCACGCACTCCGTCCTGAAGGGCATTCGAAGTTTGTGGCGATTTGATCTAGTTACCATCCTAAGAATAGCAGAAGTGGATAATATAGAAGGAACACTTTTCAGATGCATCAAACAGCACGGAACAGTACAAGCGAGCAGGCCCACTCACAGGACGCTCAATCCAACGCATCAGCCTCAGTTCCGGAGTAGCCCCAAGCATTGTTTTGTGGCGCCGGAGACCCCCACACCTTGAAGAGGGAATCGAACGGCACCCACACGGACTGTTAAAAGAGAAAGAAATACATCGACCGTCAATTAGCACCTTTGGAGACAATACGGCGTTAGTGAAGGGAAAGCGCAGGAGTTTGCGCATTTGCGTCGGCTGCAAATCCCTGAACAAAGTAACGGTGAATGTGGCAGTTGCTCCAGATCGACGAACTAGTTGACTGCTCGAAATGTTCAACAATCTATGCATCATTTGATTTCGCCTATATGTCTTCGTATGTCTCAATTTATCCCAACGAAAGGCGAACTACGGCGTTCCATACCTGCAGTGGCACACGATAGTACCTCGGCATGTATTTCCTGCTTGTGAATGCACCAGTCGAGCTGGAGTTACGGGTCAAGCACGATTGTTTGGGGCCAGCTAATGAGGGATAGACGGTTATATAGATGGACGACGGACTTGTGTAATCGCAACAGGACCAGGCCGCCGCATATGCAAGACAGTTGCGCATGCAGGCAAAACTAATCATCCTCAGCTGCATGCATTACCACTGTGGACGTTTGTTGTTCATTATATTTGTTTGCCGGCAGCCAAAGAAGGCAAAGTGAATGTTCCTATGGCAACCTCCGCTAAAATATGGTACAGGGCCAGTCCCTCTAGCTGTTCGATCCATGGTCTAAGAACTAACACTGCTTTAATAATATTATATCGAGAACTTAAGCCTACTACTACTTCTCATCTAGTAATTTAGGAACTTGTTGCTTGACACATTACTAATGTTCGCTACCCCACTTGTTGCAGCAACTATCGCTGCTAGGGCCCGCTCTCTCATATGCAGTCATACAGCTACCCTTGCTGGGGGTCTTGCTATCGCTGTGAGTTATGCTAGTTTCAAATCCATTGGGGCCGATTTGTGCACATTTTCCCTAAGATCCGGTTTCTTATCGTAGTGTACACTCCTTTCCTGGTGTAGCGGCCTCATTATAGTGCCGCGCAGTTTGATTTTGCATTGGCCGGGGCGCTTGCCACACCATCGGTGCGATCCCTGGCAAGCTGCACCCTTCAGAGATTTTAGAGACAATATATACATCGGATTTTAATCACCTGCCTTGAGTTCAAAACTATATGCGGGGGGTAGCTTCCAGGTGTGGCGGCTTCCCGTTGTTCGTGAGACGAAAGTTCATCCAATATCTGCTCAGACGGCCGACCCTCCTCACGTGTAGTAGCCAAGACAGCAGCGGCAACCTTAATCTGCAGTACCTGGTCAGGGTGACGTTGTACCCTGGTGGTTCCCTCCCGTCCTGCCAGACAAATGCCGCAGGTCTATGCACGAGTTCGTCCTTCACGTTGACCGGCGGCGAAGGCTTGGGATCCTGATGAATTAATTGTTTCCTATTCAGCAGCTATAGTGCCGTCACCAAGGCGCCGATCAAAGAAGGTTTCGTCCCGCCTTATTGCGGTGAAATTTCTTTGCGGCAGGGTTGCACAGTGTTGGACTGGTGACTCGCAAGGCATTCCGCAGGAAAACGATCGACGGCTGCTTGTGCGCTCCATGACGGTGTAATAGTTTGCCTAACGTTAGAATGGCTCAAAACAGTGTAGCTCAGGGTGAGGGGTGCGCCCGCCCTAGGATGCCAACAATGAGTGCCGAGGTTCGGGCGGACAATCCATACTCACGTCTTATGGCTTTGCAACGGTGCGTATGGTTGGGTTGGGCAGAAGTTTTCATTGTTGCGTAGGATTCCAGCCGAAGAAAATCGAGGAAATACGCTCGAGTAACTCATTTGCCTCTACTGCCGGTGCATGCTCTTCTCAGGATGGGCGTAGTGCGCGACTATCAAAAAATCACAGAAAAGGCTGTCCTGCTAGTGGGTGTAGGTGGAGTGGGCTCAGTGGCGGCCGAAATGCTGGTTCGCTGCGGCATTGGAAAACTCATTCTTTTTGACTTTGACTCCGTCGAGCTGTCCAACATGAATCGCCTCTTCTTTACCCCAAACGACGTCGGCCTGACCAAAGTAGAGGTACTTTAGGAAATTTTACTCCTTCGAAGATTCCAATGGAAGGCTTTGTGCATTTCAACGTCTGAGCCAGTGTGGGTTCCACTGTCCTCAAGAAATCTGTGGTTTTTGTCGCATGCGTCTAGGCTGCCCGGCGGACCCTTTCGTTCGTTAATCCCGACGTTGAACTGGAAGCGCACAATGCAAACATTTGTCAGGACTTTGAGCTCTTTTTGTCACGCATTTTGAATGGCAAGGAGTCAATGCAGAATCGACTGCAGCAACGGCAGCGGGAAGCAGAGCAGGGCACTGTCCAACGCCGCGGTCTCACCTGCCCCGGCAAATGGCCTGTTGACCTGGTCTTGAGTTGCGTTGATAACTATGCTGCCCGCATCACAATTAGCCAAGCCTGCAACGAAGCAGGTGAGCTCTGACTACACGCGCACACACGGCTTCGCGGCTGAACTTGAACATGAGATGCTGCAAGCAGAAGCTTGACTCCTACGATGAAATTCATGTGCAATTCCATGTTTAGGGTTTAGGGTTACTCACTTGCACTGCGTGCAAGTGAGCAGCACGTGAATTTCATCGTGTGGGTGTGGGTGTTACAAATGCACATTGCACAATGCAGTGCAATGTGCATTTGTAACACACGCGCACGCACGCATATATATATATATATATATATATATATATATATATATATATATATATATATATATATATA